TCACTGAGTGTGTGCGTGCCTGTGTCCGCCGTTGAGTCTTGCTCCCACAACCAATCAGTTAACTAATACAGTTTGATTGGCTACGAGCTCTCTCGTTTCGCAAGACAAACTTCTTACGTTCTGAGCTCGGTGCTGGAACGGATTAAACTCTTTAACCGAGGTTCCACTGTAACGTCCTTTGCGCTACACCCCAAAAACAGTGTTTTATCAGCCTCTCCAATATATGGTGCATTTAACTAAGGACTATCGCTTTCCCGATCTGTTTCCTTAGTAGTGTTGAAGGTGCTTTCGTAATCCAAGCATTAATAACATGGAAATAGTAATCGTTCCACTTCGTTTGCTAATTAAACGTATACTTGACTGTTACAGATAAGTTGAAATTCGACGCACATCGCCTCCCTGTCCTCTTATATGTAGCCACTTTTTTCACACTCAACAATCAATATGTTCCGAATAAAAAGCATTTACCTTCTGCCTTTATTTTGTGCAGGTGTTCGCCTAAGAAATCAGGCTGCTACGGCGAGCACGGAAGAGAGCGACCTTCCGGGAACTCCACACGTCTTTTCGAGGCAGGCAGGCCTGCAGTCCCGATCACAGACAACTCCCCTTGGTGTCTGTTGCCGACCTCAGGATCCCGACTCCAGCGCCGACCAGCTGTCACTACCAGCAAAGCGAGCCCGTCCGTACATTCCGGGGGATATCAATCCTCTGGAATTGGAAGAAGTGCTAAAGGAGCTTGATGAGGAACAGAAGTTCGGTGGACATCTCCTTCCCTCGCCCACGGTAGGTAGTTGTTTCCTCCATGCCCCAAGCAATACTTATGCCCCTCTTCCTTTTGGTCTGGGAGCACCTATTGACCTATAAACCACCCCGATATCCTCAGCTGTCCGGAATTCTGTCGCATGTGCTAGTCACTCAACCACTCTGCGATATGGTTCTGCTCATTCCTAATTGTATCGCACTACATGCCCTAACGAGGTCTGCTAATACGAACAAGTCTGTGGTCATGGAAGGACATGTTTGGTTGACTGGCAACGTGACGAAAAAAAAGTCAAATCCACTGCCATTGTTTTCAATAGTGTGAACTCCCGTGGTCTACAGTAGCCCACTATTCCTCTAAATGCACACCAGATGCTAGGTCTTATCACAACTATTGACTACTCCTTCCTTTCTCTTCTGTGAATAGCCTGATAGTTCACTCGTAACTGACCGACAGTGGCTATCGTAACCATGTTGTCTGTGGGTTAAATGTGAAAGACCTTCATGGTAGTCGTGTAGACGTTGTCCGGTGGTTGCACTGTTGTTGATGTTGTTTTTTGTTGTTATCGTTTAGTAGAAATGGCCACTGCGACTGATTGGGGTCCGCCTAGGTGTTTTACGCATAGGGCAGGTCCTGCAGTAAAGTTGTGGTCTATCGCTTAACAATATGATTGACAGTTGGGCGCAACGATTTGCCTCCATCCATTGTGCCGTTTATCGAAAGCATACACGTCCCAGTGTTGAGCAAGCAGGTGTCGCTCCCTCGTGCGTCCATATTGTTCTGGTTGTTACCGAGCGGTGTCTTTCGCTAGAGCGCTGTGCGTAATGTTCCTCTAAACAGCATTTACGCTGTTATTCTTGTTATTCCTGAAATTACCCGATTACCTGACTTGATCAACTTTCATTTTAGCTATTTATACACACTCTGACATGTAGTACTGGCAGTCTGGACCGCTGCATGATGCTGTACTGATTAGTTTTTGTCGATTAAAATGGTGTCATGGCCTGTCTTGTAAGCCGACTTTCATTGCGGAAACCCAGGAAGAAGCTCTTTACCTTTATAATTACTGTTCATACTTACTATTATATTGTATTTATACCGCGACCGACTGCAATCCCTCCCACGGTCTGAATAAATTCTCCTATTACTCCCCTGTTTGCAGCTGCGGTCTTTTCATGCCGCCCGCGATGCTGCCGCCAGACGTGAGGAGTCGGCGGGTACGATCGAGTTCCATGTTGTCAACAACAGTCTCAGCCAAAAACAGGAACCGCAGACGTACATTTGGCTCCTCGAGCTTCTGAACGTCTTTGCTATCCAATTACCTCGAATGCCCAAAGAGTATATTACTCGCCTCGTATTTGATCCGTACGTCTTCCTGCTGTAGTGCTTTGTGTCTGACTATACGCGCCCCTTACTTTTGATGACTATGCCTGTGTGCCCATTTTTGAGATTTTCTTACAAATTCTGAAAATGAAATGACGTTTGCGGAAAGTAGTTTGCTTTTTTGAGGCACCCTTCACGTTTCTGAAATCACAACTCGCTTGTCCAATCTCCTGTGTTTCAGTAGGATTCGGGCTTAGTTTTTGTCAAGACGTCTACTTTTTAGAACCACTTGTACTTCAAGTCCAGTAAACCCTGTTTTTCCTGATTGCAGTCCGCTTTCTACACTATCTATCCTCATTAGTTTGGCTTGTTTTTTTTCTTACCGACAGAAAACACCGCAACCTTGTTCTCCTCAAAGTTTCCGAGTCTGGAGAACGCAACGCAATCGGAGGCATTACCTTTCGCATGTTCCCAACACAGGGTTTCACTGAGATCGTATTTTGCGCTGTCATTTTCAATGAACAGGTGAAGGTAACTATGAAAGTTTGTTTAGTTCTGCGCCTTCGGTTTATCTGTTACCCAGAATGTTTGGTTGAGGGCGGCTGTGGAGTTCATAATACAGTAGACGCCGTTGATCATGCAATATTTCGACATATGCGAAAGACTAATACTCTTTCGCTAATCGGAATTGACTCCAGTCGCGATACTGATTATCATGTAGTCTATTTTGAAGTCATTTCAGTCAGTATAGGATGCCGGCTTTTTAAC